CTTGCAGACACCCTACCATGGGTTAGAAGTTATGTGCTCCCTTTTTCCCTGGCACAATCTTGTCTCTGTGTAGCCCTGACTATCCTAGAATTCACACTGTAACCCAGGCTGGCCTTGAACCCAAGAGACCCACCTGCCTCCGCCTCCCGAGCGCTGGGTTAAAGGAGTGGTGCTCTTTATACTTTTAAAGGTTTTTTTTATTATTTTAATTATGTATATGCGTATACATGTCTTTATGGATATGTGCACATGTCTAGAGAGGCCAGAAGCATCAGAGCCCCAGGTATTGGAGCAAACTTGGCTCTTCTGCAAGACAGGTAAAGCGCTGTACTGCTGAGTCATCTCCAGCCCCAATTATGTTCTTTGTAAATAAAGTCAGTAAATCAAGCGTGGTAGACACAACTGTAATCCCAGATTGCAAGTAGCTAAATCAAGAGGAGAAAGTTCCAGGCCAGTCTGAGTCTAGATCAAAGAGAAAAGCCTGTCTGAAAAATAGAATTAAATAAAAATAAACCAAGAAAGTAAACAGTCAACTGTTGGGTTGCTAGTGAACTATTGGTATATGCAATTAAAGCATATAAAATATAAAAAGCAGAGACTATGGTATGGAAGAATGTTTTATCCTAGAAAAGAGACTAGTGTGCCCTTTATCTGTGTGCTTTATAATAAAGACACCACCTGTGGTCCTAGCTTTTGGGAGGCTGATGCTGGGGCATCAGAAGTTCAAGGCAATCCTTAGCTACATAACAAATTCAAGGCCAGCTTCATTTACAGAGGGCTGGGAAGATAACAACGTAGTCTGTGCAGTGCCTGCGAGGCAAGCAGGAAGACCTGAGTTTGGATCCCCAGCACCTACATCAAAACCAGACCTGGTCATTCATGCCTGTGACCCTAGCAGCTGTGGTGCAGGGGCGCAGGCAGATTCCACAGCTCTGGGATCACTGAGAAATCCTGTATCAAAAGATAAAGTAGAGAGTAATACAGAAGATGCCAAAAACAGCCCCTCCCCCATACGCGTGAATGCACACGCACGTACACAAGCACTCACAAATGCACAAAAAGATAAAGATTTTTAGCCACAAAATCCTCTAGGGCTTTTGTAGAGCCACCCCTGATGTCCTTCACAGTGTTTTATTTAACTTGTTACCTTTCTGACTTCAGGTACCAAGTGCAGCATTCGGTTCCTTGAGGAGGTGGATGCTTTTGAAGAACGACACAAAGCCTGGGGAATTGATTACATTTTTGAAAGATTGTATCTCCTTACAGAAAAGTAAAAAAACAGCTGGTGGTGTTGGTGCACGCCTTTAATCCCAGCCCTTGGGAGGCAGGGGCAGGTGATTTCTATGAGTTTGAGGCCTGTACACAGCTCCAGGGCAGCCCAGACTATGCAGAGAAACTCTGTCTTAGAAAAAAACAAGCAAAACAAAAACAATCAATCCTTGTATGAGTTTTTGAAAAATGAAAGATTATGTTAATGCTTGAAAGTATAAGCACTTTTATATTTTCTTATGCAGCGTACAGATCTTTGCCCATGGCTTTTTAAGTGAAATCACACATTAAATACCATGTGTCTTTTTTATAGTCAGCATGTATTACTTCTATAATCAAAAATCTAATGCCTGTAACTTTAAACAACAAATAAAAATATATATTATGTATGAAAACTGGAGTCACGGAGGAAACATAAGATCTTAGTAGGATAAATCATTTTATTAAAAATTGTGCTTTACTATAAATCCTAATCTATTTAGGTCCTGGGATCCCAGCTTCACATGTTTCTCCCCTTGAATAATTTTATATATAACAGAAACAAGAAATAACAGAGAACAATTTTAAACCAACCTGTATGGAAAAAGTATTTTCTCCAAATTGTAAGAATAAAACCTCAAAAAAAAATTTTTTCTGAGTTTGGCAATTTTTTTCTTTTAATTTAGTCTTACTTAGATGGGTGGCACATGGCTATTTATTGTGCAAGTTTAGGTTCAGAATTTGTCAGTTTTTATCAATAATCACATTTTGTTAACTTAGACATCACTCTGTATCTCCATGCCTCCTAACACAAAAGTGGTTTATATTTCTAACTTGTGTTAATACAGTAATGTGTATTAGTACAGTAATGTGTATTTTAGAAAATAGGTCACTGTGTATCTGTGGGAATATTTGTGCGAGTCCTAAGGTAATGGTTGTTATTGGAAACACCATTAATATTAATATTGTATATATTCTCCATAGAGATTATCTTTTAAAAATTAAACCTGGGGCTGGAGAGAAGGCTTAATGGCTAAGAGCACGTGGCACTCTTGCAGAGGCCAGAGGTTTGGCTCCCAGCATGCATGTGGCAGTTCACTACTGCCTGTTACTACCTCTGGGGAGGCAGCACTCTTTTCTGGCTCTGGTGGGCAACAAGCGTGCATGTGGTGCAGTATATACATGCAGGCAAACTTCTCAACACATAAAAATATATTTTATTTTATTTTTTAACTGTCAATCACTGAGGTTTTATTGAGTTCCCGAGGCTCTTCAAAATTATCAGTAGGGGAGTAGAATTTCACTACTGCTGATTTTTCTGGAACATTCAGATTTTGATGCTCCTGAATTTGACAACTGTTCACATTCGATCTGTCATTTCTTCACTCCCACAAGGCCCAAGAGAAGTGGCTTCAGTTCGGCCTGACCTTTTGGCATTTAATTTCCTTAAGCCTTCTTTTCCTTTCATCTTATTCGGCGAGGCAGTCGCATCTTGCTTCTTCTGTAGCTGGGTCAGGACTCAAAAATACATTTTAAATATTAAACTTTGTGCAAACTTCTTCTCAGTGTTGACCTCACATCCTCCATGACAGCATTGAGGATGCTGTCCTTGGATATCTTCTGCCATTGATTTAGTCAAATATCCTGATCAGACTTGCTTCTCTGAAACCTGCCTCGGTCTACGGAGTGAACTTCTAGACGCCATGAGCACGTGACCTCACCTTTGTAGCCATTTGGACGAACAATATTGGACCACTGAGCTGGGTCAATCCAATTCTCTTTAGAGATTTTTTTTTTTAAGCTCAAATCTGAAAAGACAAGTAAGCTGCTCGGAGGGCAAAACGAATAGGTACAGCCAGGATCTCTCGAGTTGCCATGGCTACCACAGAGCTGAGAAGTGGAGACACAGACAGTAGAGGGGGCGCCAGTGTTCCGGTCCCCAATTTTGCCTTCCAGAAGCCCTGCTGCCCACCCTAAGGAAGAAAGTCTCTCTCCTCCGCTCATGCAGTGGCTCGAGTTCACCTCCGTAACTCCAACCCAGAGTCTTAAATGGCACAAATGAGATCGCTTTATGTAGTCAGTCTTTTATATAAAATTTGTCCTCACTGCGGGCATAATTGAGAAAACCTTAACTGACCATCAAATGCCATACTTTTAATTTACTATTTGGGCATGTCATACTCACACCTGTGATTCCAGAACGGGGCAGGAGGATCATGAGCTCAGAGTCAGCCTCAGCTCCATAACCAATGTGAACGCAGCAGGAGCCACGTGAGACCCTGACTCAAACAAACCGAAACAAAAATCAGACTCATTGTTAGGGGCTTGATGGCGAACCCCTGGGAGTAGATTACGCCTGTTAGGCCCCAAAGCCTGGGGCTAACGTGCTGATGGTGTAGTACCGTCAGTGGCCTCACAGGGGCAGCAAAGGATTGAGAAGGCCGAACAGGTAGGCTTAGGAAGCAAGTTGTTACTTATCTCTGGGGGACATAAGCTTGGCTACAGGCTGCAATGAATTGGGGTCGGGTTACAAGCACGGGTTCAGTGAGGTCTGTCTGGGAAATACTTTCAAAGGTAACATCTCATAGCAAGACCAGGTCTGCATTTGTCAGGCTCCATGTGGAAGCCACCAGGAGCATGTTAGCTTATCTGAATTGGGTGCACCGTGAGTGTAAAACACACTAGATTTTACTTAGCGTATAAAAATGAGTATAAAATATCTCTCATATTTTCAAGTGATTACAAGTCCAAGTGATGGTTTAAAGAATACAACTAAATCAATTTCATTTTCTTTTAACTTTTAAGAATGGAGTTACGGGGAAATTATTTTAAAACGTGGGTTTCATTATATTTCTGTTGGACAAGACTGGTTCTAAAAATAGCCCAGTTTTGCTTCCCTGAATGTATTTCTCAATTTAAAAATTATTTCTGAGGAGCTGGAGAGATGGCTCAACAGTGAGGAGTACGTGTGGCTCTCGCAGAAGATCTAAGTTCGACTCCCAGGGCTCATCTCGTGGCTCACAGCCGTCTGTAATTTCAGTTCCAGGAGTCTTGATAGCCTCTTCTGATGTCCCAGGGCGCCAGGCATGCACGCAGCACATATACATAATGCAGAGAGAGCGCTTGTGCACATAAAGTAAAATAAATATTTGTGTTACTTCTGAGGGGCTGGAGAGATTGTTAGTAGTTAAACACACTTGTTGCTCGGTCCTGGGGCCCTGCATTTTGATCCCACCATCCACACAGCAAATGGCTCACAAATGCCTATAATTCCAGCTCCCAGATACCTAACACTCTCTTCTGGACTCCAGAGGTTCTCATAGAGACACACAGACACACACATGCACACACACACAGAAACAAATAAATCTTCTTAAAAATTAGTATGAAGAAAAATTTGTATAAGATATGCTTTTAGATGGTTTCTTATTTAGAACAGAAATGTGCTCTGAAGTCATAGTATCAACTTGGTCATTCTGGTCTAATGCTCATGGAACACTTGATGAAATGTTTTTCTTTGCCTTCCATAGAATCTCTCTCCAGGAGTGTTAGACAAGATTGGGCCCTCCATTTTCTTGGAAGTCTATGGAACAAGAGTGTAAACAATCATGATCATGACTTGTAAACAAGCAGGGATAATAAACCTGAACGTCATAATGGATTCCTGAAGATTACAGTGGCCATAACTTTAAGATTATTCCAAGATATGTAGATCATCTTTACTTTCAAGTTTTCAATTTTTAAATATTTCTTATAATTATTTATATGCATGTGTGTATGTTTGTGTGAATGTATGTCACATGCGTGCAAATACATGGAGACCCGAAGGGGACATTGGATTCCCTGGAGCTGGAGTTACAGGTGGTTGTGAGCTACAGTGTGTGTGCTGGGAACCAAACTCATGTCCTCTAGAAGGACAGCAAGCGCTCTTTAGCACAGAGTCATCTCTTCAGGGCCTCTACTTTTAGGCTTACGTGAGACTGGAAGGCAGCGTGAATGAATCACTGGCTCAGACGTCCCTGTACATTATAATCCTCTTCACAGCTCCCTGCAGCCCAACCCTCACCCTGGACGGTTAAGCCTTTGGCAAAGAGACTCAAGCATTTGCCATATACAGACATATTTGATGATCAGCGCCAGATAACAAGAGGCTCTGGAGTCAAACTCTGGAGTCAAACTGCCTGCCCATCCTAGTCTGGCCATTCTTTGTCCGAGCCATTTCCATTATCCAAGAGGCCTGACTGAAACAATGCATGCAATCACTGAAAAGAAGGCAGGCATGTGATGAATTCTCTAGTAATTGCTATTAACTAGCAGTTTTGTTGTTGCTTGTTTGTTTCCTTGAGACAGGTTTTCAGTATGTCCCTCTAGTGGGCTTGGAGCTCACTATGTAGTACACCATGCAAGGCAACTAACACCTTTTAAATATTCCTTCCACACAAACACATTTCACACATATTCTTTTGTTTGTTTTGTTTGGCGGGGTGAGAAGGCTGAGACACTCTGTGTAGCCTAGGATGGCCTAGCTAACTAACCGCTAGTTTCTGCCTCCTGAGAGCTGGGATTTTAGCTACCATACCCAGGGCTGCAAGTGTGATAAAACACAGCAAAGAAGTATGTGTGCACACTTGCCTCACCCCCTTGAAGTTACCTTCTTTAGTGTCTCTCTCCTCAGTCAAATCATAATAAACCTAGGCTAGGAGCCCTCTCTTACTCCTGCCCAGTCCTGGTACCCAGCACCCAGCGCCGCTGATTAGCAGCTCTGCGTGTCGTCAGCATCGGGAGACTAGGTTCTGGTGGGTGCTGGCTTTGCCACTTACAGTCTAACAGCGAGCGACCCATTCGTTCTCCCAGGTGTGGCTCACTCTAAAGCTTGGATCTCTCACCCGGTACGTGATGATCCACGGCTCCGCACGGCGCATGCGAACGACTGCGGCGTGTGCCCGCCAGGGGGCAGCAGCGCGCACCCGACCAGTCCGCGTCGCCCCACGTCAGGGCGGATGCCCCGCCCCGTGCCCGTGACCGTGACCGTGACTGAGGGCTGCACGGGGGCCGCGGCGCGGCGGGAGCGATGGGGGAGGAGGAGACGGGGGTGCGGCCCGAACTGGTGCGCGAGGCGGAGGTCAGCCTGCTGGAGTGCAAGGTGTGTTTCGAGAGGTTCGGCCACCGGCAGCAGCGGCGCCCGCGCAACCTGCCCTGTGGCCACGTGGTCTGCCTGGCCTGCGTGGCCGCTCTTGCGCACCCGCGATCGCTGGCCTTCGAATGTCCCTTCTGCCGGCGGGCCTGCAGAGCCTGTGACACCAGCGACTGCCTGCCGGTGTTGCACCTTCTGGAGCTCCTGGGCTCCACGCTTCGCGCGTCCCCGGCTGCCCTCAGCGCAGCCCCCTGCGCGCCCGGGGTGCTCACCTGTCACCACGCCTTTGGCGGGTGGGGGACCCTGGTGAACCCCACGGGGCTTGCACTGTGTCCCAAGACCGGACGGATCGTGGTCGTGCACGACGGTAAGAGGCGAGTCAAGATCTTTGACTCTGGAGGAGGTGGTGCACACCAGTTTGGAGAGAAGGGGGACGCAGCGCATGATGTGAAGTACCCACAGGACGTCGCCGTCACCAACGACGGCCACGTGGTTGTCACCGACACTGGCGACCGCTCCCTCAAAGTGTTTGATTTCTTCGGCCAGATCAAGCTGGTTGTGGGAAAGCAGTTTTCCCTGCCTTGGGGTGTGGAGATCACCCCTCAGAACCAGGTCCTGATGACGGACACAGAGGCAGGGACGTTGCACCTGCTGGAAGTGAACTTCCCCGAAGGGGTCCTTCGGAGGACTGAGAGATTACAAGCTCAACTCTGCAGTCCCCGTGGGGTGGCTGTGTCTTGGCTCACTGGGGCCATTGCAGTCCTAGAGCATCCCTGGGCCTTGGGGACATCAGGCAACAACACACGGGTGAAGGTGTTCAGCGCCACTATGCAGCTGATTGGCCAGGTGGATAGCTTCGGACTGAACCTCCTTTTTCCCTCTAAAATAACTGCCTCAGCTGTGACCTTCGATCCCCAGGGAAATGTGATCGTCGCAGATACCTCCGGACCAGCCATCATATGCTTGGGGAGACCTGAGGCGTTTCCGGCCCTGAAGCCCATGGTCAGGCATGATCTTTGTCGTCCTGTGGCACTGACCTTCACCAAGGAGAATTCTCTTCTTGTGCTGGATACGGCTTCCCACTCCGTAAAAGTCTTTAAAGTGCTGGAGGGTAATGGAGGGTGATGGGGACCCGCGGTCCTGGAGTTAGAAGTTCTGGTGTCCTTAGGAGTGAACTGCACCCTGGATGAGTCACTATCACTCATCCATCCAGGCAGGAATAATGGGAACTGCCTGACCGAAGTGCTGGGTGTGAGACAGTTATTAAAGACTAATAATTAAATTTGTCATTTAGTGAACGTCTGTTCCCGCTGTTAAGAAATGTGCAAGTCTTAGCTCGTTTGTTCCTTAGCACAGAGAGATGTGATTTCTGTTATTAGCCCCATTTCAGAGATGAAAAGGCAGATCCAGAGAATTTAATATGATGTCTTCGAGTCGTTTGTACTGGGACAGTCACAATTGAACTCGATTCTGACTCCAAACCCCTTGCTCTTAAATATGATGCCAGATGTTTAAAAAAAAAATGTGAGTGTGTCTTATGTATGTTCCCCCTACAAGTAGCTAACTGGTTAAGTGCACCAAGAACCAAAAGAAAGGGGTCTCTGAGGAGTTTTCAGGAGACAAAGGATTGTGTTTGGATGTCAGTCACCTTTATCTGGGAGCTTCCCCAATGGCTGAGTAGACAGATTATTACTGATCCCAAGACTTGAATAAGAAACACAGTTGAGGTCTTGCCTTATAAGGCAAAAGTAGTCTAGTGGCTCTTCATAAAACCCACAGAGGAGACTGGACACCTCCTCTTTGGATCCTGTCTGGAGTCTAGTTGGCAGTGTGTGCCAATAATCCCAGCACTTGAGACGCTCTGGAGTTCGATGCCATCGACAGCTACCGAGTTTGAGGCTAGGCTGGGCTACACGACATCCTGTCCTTTTTAAAATAGGTGCCAGTGTTTCCTCCTCCACAGGCCCTGGGGACATCCCTGAGTGGTGTTTGAGCAAAGCCTGCAGAGCCACTGCCTGCTAGTGGCATGGACAGCTGAGACTCTTCTGTTAATTAGGAGATGCCATCCCAGCACATTCATGGCCGAACATTCGTGGCAGGAATGGCTTCGTTTGCTCTCTGGTCCTCTCTGCCGCCTAAAGTGCTTTGTGATGGGAGTTTTCTCTGTGCGCTTTAAAATGTGGTTCTTACGCTGTCTGCTCAATAAACAGTTGCCTCGTCCCTTTGGAGCACTGTAAACATGTCTTGCGCCGAAGCATAACCTTGGCCCATGCAAGGGCTCCTTAATGCTGCAATTAAGGAGAGGAATAGGAGGAAATTTGGGTGAAGTGCTGATCCTCTGTATATTTTATGTTTTTTAAGCAAGTGCAAAAACCTTTGAGTTTAAGGCTGTTGAAATTATACCAAATAACTTAAACCTCTGACGCAGCAGGGAAATGTTTTCTGGGGGCTGCTCTCAAAAGGGGACAGTTTGCTTTCGATAGTCATGGATGCCTTGTCAGCAAAAATAGTATTCTTTTAGCCAAAGGGGCTGTTTGTTTCTGAGACAAGGTCTTGTATATCTTAGACTGGCCTTGGACTTGCTCTGTAGCGAAGGATGACCTTCAACTTCTGATCCTCCTGTGTCACCTCCCAAATGTTGGATGACAGGCTTGCACTGAAACGCTTGGGGTTCTATTAGGTACTGGGGGTAGATAGAACCCAGGGCTTCTACCTGCTAAGCAAGCATTCTACCCTCTGAGTTACAAATAATTTTAAGAGAGAGATTGTATCCACTGAAGGTTGCCTCGAAGGTATGCGTGAGATATCTTCCCAAAGGTATAAAAGCTGACATTAGGAGCCCAAAATGAAAGCCTAGCTCCCGTGCCAGTCCATATAAATCCATGTTGCTTTTATTTAAAAGTTATTACACTTTATTTACTTAGTGTGTGGGGTGCGTATGCCATCCTGTTTGTAGAGATCAGCAGACAACTTGAATCTGTTCGCTTCTGCCACCTTCTGGGACCTCGGGGATTGAACTCAGGTCATCGGCCTTGGTGGCAAGCACTTTTACTCCCAACTCCTCTCCCATCCCCGCCCCTCACTGTTGCTTTCTTGCTTTCATTACATAGCACCAACAGTAGCATCTTGGGTATCCCATAGCACCGTTAGTCCTCTAGTAGGAACTCTGGGGGTTGATTTCTCCCCCATCACTTGTCCTTCAGCTGGATATGGTGGTACATACCGATCGATAATCCTAGCACTTAGCTCGCTGAGGCCAGCTTGGGATACATCGTCAGACCCTGCCCCAAACAAACAAAATTAAATAAATTATCACCGGTGGACAAGTGACTTCACAGCTATTTTGACAGTATAACAGCAAAACTTCTAGAGGGAAATGTGAGTTCACTGGGAAGGAGGGCAACTATGGATCGGTCTTAATGTTTTTCTTCCGAACCACAGCATTTTACTGATGTTAGTGTTCATTGACCCAATTCAAAAGATTTTTTTTTTAAAAAAAAATTATCAATCACATCTTTTAGTCTACACTCTATCGTGTATCTTTAAGGGAGCATATCCAGCACCCAGGTGGTTGTGAGGAGTGGCTTGTCAGCAGGTGGAGAGTCAGCTGTGGGTTTGAACACCGTGCCAGAATATCCTGGTGATGTGATGACCGTGACCGGTGCTCTGTGACAGCTTGTCTTCCTTGGGAACAGGGTGGGTCAGGGTACACAGCAAGAAGCATCTAGGGCAGATCTTGGCTAAAGATGTTGAGGAGTTCTCAGATAATCAAGAAGAAATGGTTCCGGCACACCACACGGGGTGCCAGCGTGATGGAGGAGAGATGAAACGGGACAAGAAAATATGACCAGGAGTAAAGAACAAAAGAAACGAATTCTTCCAGGACACCGGTGATGGCCATCTAGTGACCACAGAAGCGAACACAGTGCCTGCTTCAGCTCTCAGTCACCTTCCACCGCTTCCCCTCAGGCATTGTCAGCTGACTTTGACCTCACTCTGCTCTCTAGACCTGGCTTTCCCCATCTTTTGCCTTTGGCATTTTTAAAGAATGGTTTAGAGTCTTAACTCTCTCTTACAGCCACCCTCGCTTTGGTGCTGAAGGCTCAAACCATCAAACTTGGTAGGTCCTTGTTTAGACCTGTCAGGGTTCCACTTGGAAGGGGTGCAGACCCCTCTGGAGATTAGCTATATGAACCTTTTGAGGAAGAAATGTAATTCCATATACATCAAATGAACATGAACCGCTGATGGTCACAGATTTAATGTTCCTTATGTTTGGCCCAGACAAAAGAAATACATCCTGGGGACAAGCCAGATCACAGTGAGAAGGCTCTAGGCAGAGAAAAAAAAAAACCCACTAGAGTACCTGGGTGAGGATTCATTAGTTGTGGGATAATCTTTTTTGTACACTGTGAAGATGCATTTGCCTACAGCAGAATGGTTTAATAAAGAGCTGAATGGCCAATAGCTAGGCAGGATTAAATAGGTGGGACTTCTAGGGGGGAGAGAAGGAAACTCAGGAAGGAACTGAGGTGCGTTGAATTAAGCAAGCAAGATGTAGAGCAAGTGGGACCTATGGTATGGAGAGGTCATGAGCCATGTGACAGAATGTAGATTAATGTAAATGGGTTAGTTTAGGTTATAAGAGCTAGTTGGGAACAAGCCTAAGCTAAGGCCAAACATTCATAATTAATAAGAAGCATCTGTGTCATTATTTGGGGGCTGGTGGTCCAAAGAAAGTCCAACAAGAAAGACTCACTATATGCACTGGCAGACCAGGAAGATGGCTCAGCCAGTGAAGGCACTTGTCACCAAACCTAACTACCTGAGTTGGATCCCTAAGTTTCACATGATGGAAGGAAAACGTTTAATTAGATGGCTTACATTTTCAGAGGTCTAGTCCATTATCAATGTGGTGGGACATGGTGGTGCACAGGCAGACATGGTGCTGGAGAAGGAGCTGAGAGTCCTACATCTTGATCCACAGGCAACAGGAAGTGAACTGAGACATTGGGCATGGCTTGTGCATGTATGAGACCTCAAAGCCCACCTCCACAGTGACACACTTCCTCCTTCAAGGCCACACCTACTCCACCAAAGCCACACCTCCTAATGGTGCTGCTCCCCTTGAGCTCACAGTGGCCGATTATATTCAAACCATCACACTTCCCAAGTGTCAGGATTCCCATACCCAGCTCAAAAGTTATATTTTGCTGACCTGTTTGCAGAAAATTGGACTTAAACCTACAAGTTTGGGTGCCAAAACTAAACTAAATCTGAAGGGAGTAGAAATCTCCCATAGATACAATCCTGGTGTTCCTGAAATCAGGGCACAAGTGGGAATCCCTGTGCCAAGGGTCTAAACAGTTAAGTTATACAGTAAGACACACTGATCCTCCTACTTTGTCAAAGGCAAATATAAATGCTAACAATACATTATCATTGTGAACTGGAGAACCAAATTACATTTTTTGAATATCGGGAGGTTTTCCTCAGCTTGGCAATGCTGCATTTTAAGAAGCTTGTAGTGACACACAGCTTTCTTTAATCCTAGCATTTGGGAGGCTAAGGCAAGAAAATTTCAAGTTTCAATCTAGCTTGGACTCCAGAGTAAGAGCCAGTCTCAAACAAACTAAAACATACAACACTTAAGCCAAGCTGAAATGTATTTAAAGTGACGAAGAATGGACAGAATTTATTTTCTATCCATTTTTAACTAGAATGTAATTCCTCGTGAATGACATTTGTGCTGTCCAAAGCAGTATCTCCAATGCCTGACACACTGTAGGCATTCAGACATATTTTTGAATTCGTACGTGGTTTTTTTTCCCCGAAGAAAACTTCTAGATTCTGTTTTCCACCCCCTGATGAGAAGTGGAGTCCTGTAGCATGGAGCATGGCTTTAAAATGAGGTGGCCTGTGGTGGGTTTGTTCAGTGACTTGGAGAAGCAAGGACCCTGTGGTGGCCTTCTGGTAGCCGGGTTTGGTTTGGTGTGAAGAACTTTGTGTTTTTAGTCGACATGTTTCCTATCTTCACTCAAGAACCGGGGTAGTGAAGGCCTGGAGTTGCCTGAGACATCTTTGGTCAAACCTCAGGCAACCAGAAGTAGTAGTCCTGGTTATAACTCTTCGATGTCAGAAAGTGATTTCAAGCCAATCTGGAGGCGGATGAAACTCAATGCTCATGGGTCACGTGCCTGGCCATGCTTGAAGCATTACTGAAGTTACTTCTGGGTTAATCTTGGCTAAAAACATGCATAAAGTGGCTTCTGCCGTCCTCAGGAATGACGCGCTTGCTAACTCCAAACTGTGAAAAAGGTCCATTACTGTAGCTGACCAACAGTCCCTGCTTTACTGAAGAGCGATGCTATTAGAGCGGTAATCTCCTAACGAGAGGTTATTGGGTGGACAAATGATGACATAAAAGCAGTTAGAGGAAAAATCTAAAATCATTTACAAATTGTGCCTTAAGCCACTTAGTTTTAGGAGAGGAAAGAAATTATATTTTCTATTACAGTGTACTCTGTAATACGGCCCAGCTCCAACTGAGGCCGACAGAAACAGAAAACTGGCTGAGGCTGCACAGCTAAGGGAAGAATTAACCAGGAATAGGCGCCAATTTGCCCCGTCTAGTGGGAGAGGATTTGACAGTCAATGACTGAGAACACACACACACACACACACACACACACACACACACACACACTTGTTCTTTACCTTTGCACTTTCCCTAAGTGACCTTTCATTGTTTCATCATGTACACTAGGATCTCATACTGTTTGCTTCTCAGAAACACCCATGTTTGTACACACAGTGGTCCGGGA